CCCCTGGAATGGGATGGGAATGGAGATTTTGCAGTATCCTTCCTCTGGAGTGGGGTGGGAATGGAGATTTTGCAGTATCCTTCCCCTGGAGTGGGGTGGGAATGGGCAGTATCCTTCCCCTGCCATGCCCACCAAGCCACGCCCACAGAACCGGTAGTAAAATAAAATTGGATTTCACCACTGAGCTGAGTCTTTACTGGCCGGATGCCTTTCCTGTCACCAATGCAGAGTTTTGTACAGCAAATATATTCTCATTGTGCCCAGAGAGAGAAATATCTGCCTCTACCTAGGATCAAACTCACAGCCTCCTGATTGTGAGGCAAGAGATCCACATGTAGGCCACTGCACCACTCGGTTAGTACTTGAATAGAAGACTCATATCCCAAAGTGATAAACAATAACCTTAGGAAAAGTCAATGGCAAACCATCTCAATATTGCTGGGAACAATCAAAGTGGACATGATGGAGAGTTTATTTGCAACACATTTTTATAGTTTGGCATACCTGTATGTATTTCCACATCAGCATCTACGTAACTAGATTTGTCGCCCCACTGATCTCAATGATGAGCTAAAGTCCATTTAACTTTGAGGGACTTGTAAATAAATACTTTTGCTGGGCTGTTGGGCTGATGTTTCCCCTTTTGTAACTCAGACCCATTTTGCTTATTGCAAACCTGAGGATTTGGAAAAGCCTCACAAAATAAATTTATGTATGGATCTAGAGCAACAGGTCATTAATCAGGGAATAATTTTTTTTAAAAAAAAAAGATAATTAAAAACGCTCAAGATTATATTGGGTTTTGATTTCACCTAAAAATATCTTGCTATCTGGGTCATGTTATTCTATACTGCAAATGAACATGACCTTCACACTCGCCAGGAGACAATGGAATAAAGGGGCTTTCAGATTTATTACTTATGGAAAGGATATGCAGATGGTCCTCAACTTATGACTTCAACTGAGCCCAATATTTCTGTGGCTAAGCAAGATATACGTTAAGTAAGTGTGCCTCATTTTAGGACCTATCTTGCCACAATTGTTAAGCGATTCACTGCAGTTGTTAGATTAGTAACACGGTTTTGAAGTGAATCTGGGTTTCCCCATTGATGTTGCGTGTCAGAAGGTCACAAAACGGGACCCCGGGAGCCTGGGATGCTGCATCTGTCATAAATATGAACCAGTTGCCAAACATCCAAATTTTGATCATGAGGATTCTGCAATGGTCATAAGTGTGAAAAACAGTCATAAGGACTTTTTTTCAATACCGCTTAACTTTGAACAGTCACTAAAAAAATGGTTGTAACGCCTGTACTGAGTTTATTGAAAGGATGTTACATGTGAAAAAAATCAGTATATTCAAACAGAGTATATATAGAATATAGAATAACAGAGTTGGAAGGGGCCTTGGAGGTCTTCTAGTCCAACCCCCTGCTTAGGCAGGAAACTCTACACCACTTCAGACAAATGGTTATCCAACATCTTCTTAAAAACTTCCAGTGTTGGAGCATTCACAACTTCTGGAGGCAAGTTGTTCCACTGATTAATTGTTCTAACTGTCAGGAAATTTCTTAGTTCTAAGTTGCTTCTCTCCTTGATTAGTTTCCACCCGTTGCTTCTTGTCCTGCCCTCAGGTGTCTTGGAGAATAGCTTGACTCCCTCTTCTTTGTGGCAGCCCCTGAGATATTGGAAGACTGCTATCATGTCTCCCCTAGTCCTTCTTTTCATTAAACTAGACATACCCAGTTCCTGCAACCGTTCTTCTTATGTTTTAGCCTCCAGTTCCCTGATCATCTTTGTTGCTCTTCTCTGCACTCTTTCTAGAGTCTCCACATCTTTTTTTACAACGTGGCGACCAAAACTGGATGCAGTATTCCAAGTGTGGCCTTACCAAGGCATTATAAAGTGGTATTGACACTTCACATGATCTTGATTCTATCCCTCTGTTTATGCAGCCTAGAACTGTGTTGGCTGCTGCACATGGCTGGCTCATATTTAAGTGATTGTCCATTGGGACTCCAAGATTCCTCTCACAGTTACTGCTATTGAGCAAGGTGCCACATATACTGTATCTGTGCATTTCCTGGATCCATTTTATGTACTCCAGAATGGCTTAAGGATGAATGGATTTGTCATGCTGCACACCGTTTTCTTCTTCTAACAATTTGTTCAGCCACCTTTCCGAGCCAATAGGCAAGGTTTGGAAAGTCAGCTTGAAAATGCATTTCTGAGCCTGTTTTTTATGATGTATGCATTTTCCCATGTGCCTTTCACAATATAATTGGTGGGACCTTAGTGAATTTTCTCATCTTTTCACTCTCACCCTAGAGAAATATTTGCACATATTTGTTCCTTGGAGATATATTTTGCAAAATTCAGGGGGGAAGTACAAAATATTGATTCTCTTCATGTGGTTTCTAGAGGAAGTAAAATTTGGTAAATCAATATTAAAACTAAATGCAGGCTGATGACCAATAATGGGCTTTTTTCTACAATGAACCCCTGTAAATTGTCAGTCATCATCTCCTCCTCCATTTGCAAGGCTAAACCCAGTTTTTAGCAAAGCAATAATTAACTCAATTAACCCAGCTGTCAAAAACTTTCCAACAAAATAAAGCTCAATTTTACTAGAGGCTAGTATTAGTAAAACATCCTGAAACATTTGAAACTACAGATAAGCAGACTTTCCTCGTACGTGCTAAATTTCTGGATTTGCATTTTAAATCCATCTTTATTTAGCATTGGGTGACACCCAGTTTACCCTCAGTTATATTGTCCTTTAGACAATTAACATTCCTATGGATGTACATAGAGTATAGCACCAGAAGGCAAGACAAGAAACAATGGTTGGAAACTAATCAAGGAGAGAAGCAACCTGGAATTAAGGAGAAACTCCCTAACAGTGAGGACAATTAACCAGTGGAACAGCTTGCCTTCAGAAGGTGTGAGTGCTTCATCACTGGAGGTTTTTAAGAAGAGGCTGGACAGCCCATTGTCTGAAATGTTATAGGTAGAGGTCGGTTTCAGAAGGTTCTGGCCAGTTCTGGAGAACCGCTAGTGGAAATTTTGAATAGTTCAGAGAACTGGTAGTAAAAATTCTGACTGGCCCCGCCCCCATCTATTCTCTGCCTCCCAAGTCCCAGCTGATCTGGAGGAAATGGGGATTTTGCAGTAACCTTTCCCTGGATTGGGGAGGGAATGGCGATTTTACAGTATCCTTCCCGTGGAGTGGGGTGAGAATGGAGATTTTACAGTATCCTTTCCCTGCCACGCCCACCAAGCCATGCCATGCCATGCCATGCCATGCCATGCCATGCCATGCCACGCCCACCAAGCCACGCTCACAGAACCGGTAGTAAAACAAAATTGAAAACCACCACTGATTATAGGGTTTCCTGCTTGAGCAGGTGGTTAGACTAGAAGACCTCCAAGGTCCCTCCCAGCTGAATTCTGAGTGATTGATTGATTGATAGACTTTTGCTTTCAAATGAACCTAGCATATGTCTGACCTTAGCTAACCTGGAAGCTAAATACAATCTACAAACAGAATAACAGAGCTGGAAGGAACTTTGGAGGTTTTCTAGTCCAACCCTCCACTCGAGCAGGAGACTCTATACCATTTCAAACAAATGGCTGTCCAGTTTCTTCTTAAAAGCTTTTAGTGACAGAGCACCCACAACTTCTGAAAGCAAGCTGTCCCACTGTTTGATTGTTCTTACTGTCAGGAAGTTTCTCCTTAGTTCTAGGTTGCTTCTCTCCTTGATTAATTTCCATCCATTGCTTCTTCTTGTCTTGTCTTCTGGTGCTCTGGCAAATAGGTTGACCACTTCTTCTTTGTGGCAGCCCCTCAAATATGGAACACTGCATATGGGTTCCTCCCGGTTTGGCTGAGCCGGTAGCGGTGACAATATGACGTCACTGAACCGGTTCTCTTTGTTCAGGAGCTGGACACTGCCATCATGTATGTGTCATGTAGTTTGTTGGAAGGCTATAAGGAAATCTCAGGAAAGATTTCCCGGAAGGTGACAATGACCATCAGCTTCTGCAAGACTTTCAACACAATTGCCCAGAAATGTTCTCATAATTTAAGATGGGAAAATTGATATCATAAAATGACTCCATGTGACTAAGTAGATGATGATGATGTTACCCATTCGGTCACATACAAGTCTTGATGATTCTATGGGCCAAGGTCTCTGCACATATTCCGATCTTGCACTACTTCTTTCAGCTTTTCTATTCTCTGGTGTCCCCTTTCATGGTGTCCAGCAAATGTGTTCTTTGGCAGCCTGGTTTCCTTTTACTGAAAACTCTTCCACACATAATTGCTTTTTTCAGTGAATTCCCCTGCATGACATAGCCAATATACGAGAGATAGTGCTTTTTGCCTTCCAGTGACATGCCTGGTGTTGTGTGTTCCAGTACTTGCTTGCTAGTCACCTTACACAAACACAATCACTCATGCTCTCACATACACACACTTTGAATGTCCCAAAGGAGAAGGTGACCTCTTCTTCTTCTTCTTCTTCTTTTTTTTTTTTGTAAACAAAAATAAAAGCTTGCAACCCTTTGACTTTAGAGAATTTTCTGCTTTTTATTTTTACTAAATGGCTTATATTGTCCCAGCTGGGGTTAGATGAAATCTCCTTTATAGAACCAGTGATGGGCTGCTGCCGGTTCGGACTGGTTTGAGCGAACCGGTAGTTCCGATTATCAGCTGACTCCGTCCAACTTCCCCCGCCATATCCTGCCCTATATTTCCTCCTTTCTGGCTCAGCTGATTGGTGTGGCACAGCTGATTTCGACGCCTCCACTGTTCTACTTACCGGGGCTGCCTTAGAAGGTAAGCAGCTGAGCTTCAAATTGCTGTATTTTGAACGCCGCGCACAAGCGAGTTTGGGTCACAGGACAGGTTGTTAAAACGGTTACAGCCCACCATTGTAGAGAACTATATTTATGAGCACAGGTAGGAGTCATTTCCTTCTATTTCTATTTGTCAGGAGAAACAGAGAGTATTTGTCAAGCCCATAAAAAGATCACGAGAGTCAGAGGTATCACTGCTGGGAGAAAAACCAAGACAACTGAATTTCAGTCATTCCCTCCTGTTGCCAGATTTCTTTCTTTCTTTCTTTTTTTTTTTTTTTACAATGTCATTAATATCTGGCTGGCCTTTAAAGGGACCTGAAACCATGTAATCGATTTCTGAATAAAAGTGCAAGGTTTCTTTCCCCCTCACACACACCTCTTCATTTTCCAATTGGAAGGTGTTTAAATGCACTCTGTATAACACTGACTGAGGAAAGGGAGGGGGGGGGAAAACATCCTACAACAATGAAGAAAAAAGCACCCTACTTCCTGTATAACAAATTAGCTCTGTCAATCACTGATTAAAGAATGTTAATTTCTAGAATTACCAGACAGACAGCTATAAATGGCACAGTTTTATTAATTATTCTTAATGTTTGCTTTAAAAAAAAAAAACAGAAAGCACTTAAACACAGATTCCACTGTTGGCAAAGGAGGGTTCAAAGGTATAAATTAAATTGCCCTGAGCAAGCATAATAAAAGAATAACAGAGTTGGAAGGGACCTTGGAGGACTTCTAGTCCAACCCCCTGCTCAAGCAGGAGACCCTATACCAGTGTTCTGTCCCCCTTCCCCACACAGGCAAACACACCACCAGGCATGCCTGCCAAGATTTTATTAAGCAATCAGACTAGAAACCCTTGCAGATAAGAGTTTTGGCAGTAAACTGTGAAATGCCTGCCAAGTCAGTTTCCACTCACAGTTCGCAAGAGAGAGTTTATCCTCAGACCGGTTCAGTAGCAAAAAGTAATCCACGAAGCAAGAATTAGCCAAGGTCCAGCCCAAATATGCACAAGCCAGATTTCAGGTAACGCGATGTGACTCTCAGGTTTTTAACTTTGACTATCACAAAGCCTGAAGAGCAATCACACCCACTTTTATTCCTTGTGGGGTGTGGCTCAGTGATTCAGCTCAATTTCTGGCCCTCCCATGCCTCTTTCGTTGCTGCGCACGCTTCTCCCTCCGACGCTGCCTGGGATCAAGCCAGGATTCATCATCCTCGCTCCCTATCTGTTGTTGTTCCGATATGCCTTCCTCCTGGCACCTCCCAGGCTGTTCCTCTTGGCCTTCGGATGGAACCTGAGGCATTGCCAGAAAGGAGGGTCCTGAAGAGGGAGGCCTTATCAGTTCCTCCCCATCACCTTCTGAGTCCTCTTCCTCTGTTAGGACAGGCTCGAGAGTCGGGGTCACAACAACCAGGGATGTCACACTCAAGGCCTGGGGGCCAGATCCGGCCCACGGGGTACTTAGATCTGGCCCATAGGGCCACCCTGGAAACTGCGAAAGACTGGCCCGTGGTGCTTCTGTCAGCGAAAATGAGCTCCCAAGCTCCGTTTTTGGCAGCTGCAGCTTCCTGCAACCCCGTGCCAGTGAAAACAGAGCTTGGGAGCCCAAGCTCTGTTTTCACTGGTAGATGGTTGCAGGAGGCCGTAGAAGCTGAAAACGGAGCTCGGGAGCCCGTTTTTGTTGGCAGAGCTCTCGGGCCACCACTGGCACCGCTGACAGGAGTGATGTCAAGCTGGCCATGCCCACCCTGACCACCCCCACTCCCCAAGGTCAAATACAACCCTGAGGTGACCCTCAATGAAATCAATGACACCCCTCCCCTATACCATTCCAGACAAGTGGTTGTCCAATCTCTTTTTAAAAGCCTCCAGGGATGGAGCACCCACAATTTTTGAAGGCAAGCCGTTCCAATAGTTGATTGTTCTTACTGTCAGGAAATTTCTCCTTAGTTCTAGATTGCTCCTCTCCTTAGTTATTTAGTCAATTACTACTTAGTTAATGAACCCCTCAGATTTATTTTCAAATTAAAATCAAGCTTCACTGTTATGCACCAGACAAATGTCTCCATTTTCCCACTTTCTTGGCCATTTTTCTAGGTGGGATGGGTAGAAGAGGAAAAAATGAAACTGTCCCACTCAGGGTGTTTGTTGGCCCTTGGCCATTTTAGAAACTTTCACGCTGATATCTGAAATGAGATCATCTATCTATCTATCTATCTATCTATCTATCTATCTATCTATCTATCTATCTATATCTATATCTATATCTATATCTATATCTATATCTATATCTATATCTATATCTATATCTATATCTATATCTATCTATATCTATATCTATCTATATCTATATATCTATATATCTATATATCTATATCTATATCTATATATCTATATATCTATATCTATATCTATATCTATATCTATATCTATCTATCTATCTATCTATCTATCTATCTATCTATATCTATCTATCTATCTATCTATCTATCTATCTATCTATCTATCTATCTATATATATATATATATATATAAATCATATTTTGAAGCCTGAAATTTGAAATTTGATACAGAACATTTTTTTTTAAAAAAAAATATCAATACGTTTTCTTGTTTGGGAGAAATTTGAAATTCGGTAAATAAAGTAATAAATAAATAAAAATGGAGAGGCTTTCTTGTGCTGGAGAAACCCAAAATTTGAAATTTGATACATAAAATATATTTTTTTTAAAAAACTCTATAGGGTTTCTTGCTTGTGTTCATTTTGTTTTTAGGAAGAACATTATATCTTTTGCCCAGTATAACATGGGGCATATGGCTGTGATGAGATCTTCCTCACAGTGGATAAAATGCTTAGCCATGGAATAAAGCTTAATTTTTATTTTATAGCATATATTTATTATATATTAAAGTTTGTATCATGAGAAATTATGTGTGTACAGTATGTATTTTTGTCTCTCTCTCTGAGTGTGTAATGTGTATGTATGTGTGCATGTACCATGTTTCTTCAAAAAAGGATCTTATTTTCTTTGGACCCCCCCCCCCCCCCCCCCAAAAAACAACAACAACAGTTGAGCCTTCTTTTTGGAGGGTTCTAATTATTGACTCATCTCATGGCGGTGGCAGCGACAGCCCCACCCAGCAGGAGTCTGCTGCTGGCCCACTTCTTCTGCGGCTGCTTGCTGCCACTTGCACGCATCACCCTGACCTCCGTTTTGCCTGCTGAAAGGCATATGCAGCCAATAACAGAGCTCCAGATCGATCTGGAGCTCTATTATTGGCTGCAGATGCCTTCTAGAAAGCCCTCTGCGATGCATGTTAGTGGCGGCAATTGGCCGCCGCTGAAGTGGCTGCAGAAGAAGGCAAGGCAGGTGTCGGGTGTGCAAGGCCTGTGTTATGACCCAGCCCCAAGTAGTGATTACTAAACACAATTCAATCCTCAACAAACTTATTTTTATTAAAACAGCTGAGAATTAATTCATTCTCAGCTTAGTCCAAAACAAAATTTTTAATAACCAGTCCATCGGCAACCTGCCAAAGGCTTTTCTTGGCAAATCCCCCACAAAGTTCAAGAAATGCTCACAAGAAGCATTGGAATCAACGCTGCTTTTCTACAAAGAACCCAACAGCTCATTGCTGCTCTTTTGAGCCAATCATCTTCTGGCCTTACTCCTGAGTTGTCCTTTTTGCTTCAGCTGCTCTTGCCTTCTGGCAGCTCTTCACATGTTTGCACTAGGAACAGGCTTCTCCTGTTCTTCTGCCTCTCTGCTGTCTGCCTCTGGAGGCTCCGGAGTCCGCACATCGCTCCCAGATGGCCCTGGCCCCATCTCTGCCTCCAACGCAGAGCCCTCATCTGGGCCTTCCCCTGACTCCAGGACTGGCCCATTGTCCTCCCCAACCTCCTTACTGTCCGACTCCACTGCCTGGTCCACAGGCTGCTGGCGGACCACAGCAGCATGGTAAGTAGGGCAGCTCCAACCCTCCCATCCCCACCCTAGCTTATTTTTTACCTGCGTTCCTTGCCCCACCCCCTGCACCCCGGGGTGGGCGGGGTCTTAATTAGGGGTAATTTTGTGGTTCGGGCTAATTTGATCGCATGGACTCAAAAACGTGATAGGGCTTCTTTTCAAGATGGGCTGTCTTTTTGGAGAAACACGGTATGTATCTGTCTGAAGCTTAAATGCTTTAGCCACCTAATGAGAAGGGAAAACTCATTGGAATAGATTCTGATGTTGGGAAAGACTGAAAAGGAAAAGGGGACAGCCAAGAATGAGATCATTAGATAGTGTCATCAACGCAATGAACATGAATTGGGACAAAGTTGGGGAGACAATGGAGGATAGAGGATTCTGGTGAGCTATGGTCCATGGGGTTGGCCATGAACTTAGCAATTGAACAACAACAAAAGTGTGTGTGTGTGTGTGTGTGTGTCTGTGTGTGTGTGTGTCTCTGTGTGTGTCTGTGTGTGTCTCTTTGTGTGTCTGTGTCTGTGAATGATATGGGAGTAGGCATGGATTTCCAGAGAAGAAGAAAAAAAGTTGCAGACTACAGGAACCAGGAGCCCCAATCAGGTGACCCTGAGGACATAGATAAACCTCCAACGGCTTTAATGACCCTCTAAAAGGATGCAAATGACCAACTGTCTGCAAGGAATATAAATCCTTTCCATTCCCCACTGTCCTGTCAGAGCAGAAGAAGCTTCTTGGATGAGAAGCAAAATGTCTTCAAAAGAAAAAACAAAAACAAAAACAAGAAAGTCCAGTTGCCTCCTGAAAAAGCACCTTTGGGACAATCACGACCTGGATGACTGAGAATCTCTACGGACTCTGTGTATGTGTGTGTATTTCTGGTGCTTCTGGCAATGCTAAAGAAAGAAATGGTCATTCCCAATCATAGTTGGTTCTTCTGATGCCTCTATTAAAATCTTGCTAGGATCTAATCATCTTTGAGTAAAGTAGGATGGACAACAGAGACTTCTTGAAATGGTAAGAAATATGAGTAGGGACTGTGAAAGCTGCATCATCCGTTGTGTTAAGTTAAGCAACCTCCGCTGAAAGCTAATGGCATTATAGTGACAGATTCTGGCTCCTGAATTCTACCTCTACACCAATTTACTCTCTGACCTCTAGCAAGGCTTTCAGCAAATTA